GCAGATGCGCCTGTTATTTATCATCTATATTCAGACTTTCAGAGAAAATATGGTGCGCTGGTCCCTGGCAGGAGGGCAGGATGTGGACATTCAGTCCTCCAGTGTGACAGAAAACCTCCACGCTTGGTGTTGTGATTCTCTCCAGTGTTCTTTTAATCTCGGTCACAAAGCCTCTTGCAGGAAGCTATGCCAGATATGTCCGGCTTTTCAAGCAAAGCCAGTAAGTGAAGAATAACACTGTTTCACTGGACAATCCCCAATCGCCACAAACAAGGCCAAACCGAACAACAGAGGGTTTAAGCAAGACCACGGTTGTGCCTACTCCAGGGAATTCTTTCCATATTTTCCTTCTGTTGAGTCACGGGACGCCTGAGTGAATCTGGGCAAAACAAGGACAGCCGGGCAAAAACACAATTTCTGTATCTCGTCAAAAAAACGTATTTTTTCTTGGCTGGATCAATAGGCATTTCCCCCCCTTAATTCATCAGTTTAAACTTGCCTTACAAACTATTCTATTGAGGAATTTGAAGTTGTAAACCCTTTGAGGCTCAATAACAAGTTACATCACTCATCAGAGCCAACGTCAGTCATATGATTTAAGATTATTGTGAGATAATCTTTCCAAATGATGCTCTGATTATACTGTTCACACACTCCTCTTTAATTATGCAACTACATCTTAAAATAAAGATGGACTTTCCCAGGGTGTGTACCTGCAGTATTAAAGGATCTTAGCCTGTCAACAATCTTTATTAATGTGTGAGTCTGTTTTAGTTTCTGACTGCTGAGGCTGATTTTAATCTGGAGCATAATAATCATCTCCACCATACAGAGACATTATTTGTTGTATCACACATTTTCCATAATGTGTGATACAACTGATCCGAGTGTGTCAGGATAGATCCCTTGTCTTTTTCTCTGCAAACAAAATCTACCTACGGGTACAAATAAATAACCTGAACCTGCACCTGAACTAATGTTTTTTTTCTGTATGGAAGTCATTTTAAGGTGAATGATGTAAAATCTTCATATGCATGTGCATTTCACATTCAAATTGTTCAGAGCAACATGTGCTCCTAAAAAAAAAAACCGTGCTGAGGAGGAATTCACTTATCCGCCTCGAGAAATGAAACTAGACTTCAGTCATGTTTGGGAATGCTGATCTGGGACCTGCTGTTCCCATGGCCTCTGGCTCTGACACTGCTTCTAAAAATGGCTTCATGAGAAGACATTACTTCATATGGCATTAGTATGAATCATTGTTTGGGGCATACAAGAAGGAGGCTGTAACACATTGTAAATATTATTGGTGAGAGAGCCCCAAATGTACGTCTATTTTTACAATGTATTCCCACAGGACTCCACTTAAAGGCACTCATATACACTGTACTCTGGTAGTAATATGTCCTTGTATTATTGCAAAACAGGTGAACGGGCACTATAATCAATCATCTGCTGCCAATTGTAACTCGTAAACAACATGCAGTGACGCAGAACATACCTTACAGATGTGTACAATTCTTCTGAAGCTCCAGATGGGAGTGGTTTTCCCACGAGCAGGCCCGGTTCTACGGGGGTGCATAAGGGTGCATTGCACCCTCAGTTGAGTCGTTATGCACCCTCATTTGAAAAATGAAAAGTGAAAAAATGAAAAGTGAAAAATATTACATATATAATAATAATAGTAATAATAATAATAAGAAGAAGAAGAATTTAGTTGAAATAAAATAAATTGTAATTGTGGTTAAATAACATTGTCTGCTGCATTTTATTTGGTCAATTTAAACGATAAGTAACGTTATTAACTGTTATTATGTTATTATGTCAGGTGTGCGTGACGCAAACCTGACATAATAACATAATAACAGTGCCTGTGCCGCTGCGCGTTCGTCATTTGCAAAGTGCTTACACAGCAGTCAATGATTGACATCAGAAAATGGTTAAAACAACCAGCCCTAATCACCAGCACTGCATCTACTGCAGGTAATAACAGTTCAGATCATGGGGACATTACGTTACCCGCGGCCACTGTCGTGGACACTAACGCCCGCCTCGCCCACGGAGGCGGAGCAGCCGCAGCCGTCTTCGTTGCCCCAAACACCGCCACCCCTTAGCGGCCCGCAAGTGCCAGAGGACCTCGGCAAAACAGAGCCTGCCCAGGTATATTTAAAAAAGTACCCAACTCGCCTGTACAGTGGGGTAAGGCACTCATTTTGCAGCTCATGGTTTCAAAACAGAGATTGGCTGGAATATTCATGTAAAACAGATGCCATCTTCTGCGCATGTAGACATTTCGGTTCAAGAAAGTCAGATGCCTTCACCACAACTGGCGCCATGCTCTTATAGGCTACGTGATAAGGGACTGGGAAGGCATGAATCAAGCAAAGAGCACTTAGATCTCTTAATGTTGCTCTCAAAGTGCACCAGATTGATGCTTTTAACTTCAATATTTAAAAACAAATCTTCCCAGGAGGGCATGCCCCCGGACCCCCTTAGAGGAGGTGAGGTCCCTCCTAGAGGAGGTGAGGACCCCCCTAGAGGGTGTTAGGTCCACTCCTCACTTATAAAAATAGCACTTTACCACTGCACCCTCTCTAATCTCAGATGCACCCTGAGTCATTTTGTTCTGGAACCGGGCCTGCCACGAGCATCAGAAAGATTGGACAATAACAGGTAGGTGATTAACTTCTATTTTTCTTTACTGTAATGACAACTAATCACACTGTCCTGGTGCAGTGAAACGGAACAGTTGTCACAAAATCAAAAGCAGAAGCAAATGCAGATGCCGACTTACATCCACAGAAATGTTGATTGTACCACAGAAATGCACAATTCCTCATTTTTGCAATCTCGTGTGAAACCACAAAGACAGACTGCCTCTGTCCTGCAGCGAGCTGGGGTCTCCTGTGTGAGGGAGCCCTCTGCAGGTCACACACACACACACTTTAAAGTCATCTGTAAAAGTGAAGCTAAGTGCAGAGGTGCCACTGGTGTGTGAGAGTCACTCTGCAAAATAAGAATGACATTAACATATTTAAATCATGAAGTTTATGAATGTTTTAGTTTCAAGCAGTGATGAAAGAAGTACTCAACTCAATGGCTGTACACTTTTGAGGTACTTTTACTACACTACATTTCAGAGGCAAATATTGCACTTTCTACTACCCTTAAATATAGTTTGTAACATATGACACCATGCTGTAAATAATGCAACAGTATTTGACATAGTGTAATGTGCTCCACCAGCAGCAATATTAAAATGCTACTCACCTCTAAAGTATTACTATTCTGATAATATACATTCCTGCAAACCTATTAACTTAACACAAAAAGTAAGGGCATTTGTGTTTGGTAGATGATTTTTATCTTGTAACAATACTTCTTGGCAATGAATCATATACCGTTGGAAAGCCTGTTTACTTACCTTTCCAATGGTACCACATTTGTGAGGAACAAGCATTTGTGGGATGAGCAGCAGAGTATGAGGGTTGCGCCCATGAAAAATGTGACAAATCTCCTCTGCCAATGCCGAACGGCAGCCAGTCCCCGGTATCTTACGGCTGGAGGCCTGCCATGACTGCCCTTCACTGTCAGGCCAACTTGCACTGGAACCTCAACATGTGGAGGAAGGTTATGTTCAGCGATGAGTCCAGTTTCTGCCTACGGTACAGTGTGGAGGAGACACAGAGAACGCACCCCATAGAGCCTTTTCTTATCAAGCTCCACATTTGTGGAATCAGCTTCCAGTTTGTGTTCGGGCGGCAGACACCCTATCCGTTTTTAAGAAGGCGCTTAAGACCTTCCTTTTTGATAAAGCTTATAGTTAGGGCTGATTAGATTCAGCCCCTAGTTTTGCTTAGTTTGTCGGGGGACATCTTACTTCTTCCTTCTCTCTGTCTATACCTGTGTACTCTCATGTTCCGATTAACCCAGCTTCTCCAAATGTCTTTCTTTTTGGTGTCTATATGCGCCGGGATCCGGAGTCATGGATGATCCTGCTGCTGTGGTCCTGAGTACTGGATCGCGAGCCCTGGATCTTGAGTCGTGGCTGTGGTCCTGGATGGATATCCTCGTGGATTCATCTTATTATTATAGACACATGCATTTCCAAACATTTGGACTACCTATGTTGCAAATGTATTATCTTTTCAATTTACACACGGCATCTATTGCACGTCTGTCCGTCCTGGGAGAGGGATCCCTCGTCTGTTGCTCTCCCTGAGGTTTCTCCCATTTTTCCCTTTAGAAGTTTTTCCTTGTACGATGTGAGGGTCTACGGACAGAGGGTGTCGTATTGTCATACTGATATTCTGTACAAACTGTGAAGTCCGAGACAAATGTAAAATGTGTGATATTGGGCTAAATAAATAAACGTACAAAAAATAATTTAAAAAATGCTTATTCCTCACAAATGTGGCACCATTGAAAAGGTAAGAAAACAGGCTTTCCAACGGTATACGATGTATTGCCAAAAAGCATGGTTACAACATAGAACTCATACAAATGTCCTTACTTTTTGTGTTAAGTTTATAACAATTTTACTTTATGAAAGGGAAAATTCTGCCCAATAAGAGCTTTAATACATTTTACTGATATACTTTAAACCTAAAAGTCTTGGTTGAAGAACTGTTACTTGTAACCGAGTCTTACAGAAACGTATTTTAACATCAAAAAGGAATAGAGTAAAAGATAATTGGCCATTTTTAATAAATGCCCTAAATGACTTTGCTTGTTGAGATGCATGCTGAATGAAGATGAATGTTTAATCAAAGCATATGATAATACATTTGAGTAAACAGCGCCCCCTAGGGTTCATAACCCTATTCCATAAAGTGTGTATGGATGTAAACAATGTGTGATTTGAGAATTTAAAAAGGTGCACAATCCATATTTTCTGTTTAAACACAGCAAGGTATAACAGCAGTAACAACACATGTTCACAAGTACAGCCAAATGTGAATCTGAGTGATACCTGGAGGAGTAAAGAAATCCACTCGGCATTTTTAACAAAAATTGAAACCTTTATTTTAGATTTCATTTTTTTTACAAAAACAACAACGAACGGTTGGTTGCACCTTGGAACGCTCGTTAGTAGATGGACCCAAAGTGGCGTCACGATTGCTCGATGCTCCTCCGGTGCTTTAAGACAGCAGACACTGACACAGAATCTCCCAGAATCCCCTTCTGCAGGACCACAGGGCTGATGTGGTAATAAAACATGGTGGCCCGCACAATCCCCCCCCCCCCAGTCCTGTTCTCCTTCAGCAGTGCTCTACTCCTTGGCAATAGCGAAGGGCTTCTCCACCTCAATAACGCCACAATCGTGGATCATGACATCTTTAAGAGGCTTATCCCGGCCGTCTGTCTTTGTGGCCTCGATCTTCTTCACCACATCCTGGAGGAAGGAATACAATAGATTAGATTGATTCAGCACAGTCAAAATAGTTAATAAAATAGACCAAAGTTGACATCAGGGAACCATAAAGTAGCATGCTTTTCCTTAGAATGCACATATTTGTACAGTAATATCAGTTTATATACAATAGTCTAATCGTTGATTAGCCTGTAATGGCTGGCTCTAGCATCCAAAGCACCCTTAATCTCACTGTTATGGAATACATTTCCAAGTTAGTAAAATGTACGTAATCAAAAACATTTCATGATGCAGAAGGGTCCCATTCAGTGCTATATTGTTATACATGGGTTGTGTTGGTTTATTATTACTGCAGCATTTGTGCACAATGGATCTTATTTAACTTTGTTTTACTATGGGGGCAATTTAATCTGTTACATGAAGTTATATTTACTGTGCAATCATCAGGTGTTTATGTTCATTTGCACAGTATAAAAAGGAGAATAACACATTTAAATACCACAGCACAAGTACCTCAAAGATATATTATTTTAGTAAATTAACGTTGCTGCTTTTCACCAGTTGGCTTTCTGATATCTATATTGAGATATTTAAAAAAAATCCACATCACGTGTGACGCAAACTTTACATTCCTGCTTGCCTTTCCCCTTCAGTTTGAATATTTACAAGACATTTATGTTCTCGGTTCAAGTCTGAGCAACAGGTATATCAAAGCCTTTGAGTATAGGAGGAGACTTTGGAGACTTTCCAGACAGATTGTGCAGTTATTTTTGTTCTAAATAAACAAATGACCAAAAGACAAACAGGGACATCTGGGAATGTTCACGACCAAATTGATGCAGATTACATTCTCCGATTTAGATGACGCGATCATTTCTACTCATTTCGATGCAATACTGTGTCACTTTGCACCATCTGCTACTGCATGAGTAGATGAATATGCAATTATAAAAGCGGTCAAGGGTTTATCGGATGTTAAGATAAAACTCAAAGTGCTTTCAAGGTAGTGTCAAACATCTCTAGAAGCTTTATCATCACATTTAAAGTGTTATTATAAGTGCAACTGCAAAATATAAAGTTTGATGATTACAAATGTTACCTTAAAAATTCCTCTCTTGTGAATGGGTTAGCCAACTTCCCAAACCTCTTGAACTACAGCCATGCAAGCCTTCTAAGCTTAATACAAGTTGATTGGCTCCAAACCAGTTGATGGAAACTTTCTGCAACCTTCCAAAGTTTGCTCAACAACTGACAGCTTGTTTTCTTCTCTGACTCACCATGCCCTCCAGGATCTTTCCAAAGACCACATGTTTGCCGTCCAGCCACGGGGTCATGATGGTGGTGATGAAGAACTGAGAGCCGTTCGTGTCTTTGCCGGCGTTGGCCATGCTGAGCCAGCCGGCGGCGTAGTGCTTCAGCTTGAAGTTCTCATCGGGGAAACGGTCTCCATAGATGCTCTTGCCTAGAATTTTAAAAAAAAAACATGTTTCGCATCTTGTTCAAACATTCCCTCTGTACACATATTCACATGTCATTTGAATTGCTGCCAAAGGTTCATCTCTACTTTATCTGATGACATTGCATTACTCACAACACTGGGTCATTCTGAATAAGAGCATCTGCCAAAATGTCAAATAACCCCGACTCATGTGGTCACAAAAGGGCAAAAAAAAAAAGTTTTAAATAATAAAATGCATTTCCCAATTAGTAAAAGAATATAACTCAGGATTTCATCGAAACAAAAAAGTTGCTAGAAAGTGCTCCTTTTCCTGAGTTTGCCGCGTGGAATGTCTTTTTTCTAAAAGGTCACGGAGACACCAAGAAAAATGTGTAAAATGCCTCGAGTCCTAAATGTCCAGGACAGCATATTTGACGAGTGGGATCTTGTAGAGACAACATCTAAATCCTGACCTGAATGCCAGTGTCGGTGGCCATCTTACCTCCAGTGCCGTCTCCTTTGGTGAAGTCTCCACCCTGGATCATAAACTCCTTGATGACTCGATGGAATTTGCTGCCTTTGTAACCGAATCCTTTCTGTTTAATTAGAACAAACACAATGTTAAGTTAAACAAAACTTACAAAAAGGGCTACCTGCTGCCAGTATTTCACATGAATGAGTGAAATCTTTTGTTCAAAGTGTTTCTCCAGGACATGGGGGTTTACGGTTTGGGAAAGTAAAGAAGGATGTTGACTTAGAGGGAAACAAGTAAACATTGCAAATTATACCCCAAGACCCTTTCTGTGTCACACTACTGTGTAAAAAGAAGAAGGATGACTGCTTGAATTGTTCCCCCATTTAAATGTGCAGTCAGTAGTGAAACTGGTGAGTCCAAGAGTGTCACACTTCGGGAACACATAATAAACTTAGATGCTCTCACCTCTCCTGTTGCCAAAGCGATGAAGTTATCGGCTGTTTTGGGAACAGTTTTCCCAAAAACTCCGATGACAATTCTTCCAACTTCTTCATCTCCAACTTTCATGTCAAAGAACACCTGGAAAGTCAAAACATAAAGTTATTTTACACCCCATGGTCACATGTTAATGATATTGACTCCATGTGATTCTATTCATGACCACTGTGCTCTACTTTTCCTTTGTTGGGAGTCTGCCTGCAGCCAAAAGTGTTTTAAAGAGATATTCATTATTTAAAGCAAGTTTCTCCGGGATATGGCACGGTTATAATGTGACATAAGATCAACGAAATTATGGTTTTCCCCTTCAGTTCCGTTTTCCAATCATAAAAGAAAATGCAAAAAAATAATAGTTTTGAATTAAAGTTTCAGAAAACCTACTTTATCTTGTAGAAGTCATAATTAGTTGTATTCTGACTCACTAACTCTTCACCTGAAGTTCAGAAAACAAGCAAGGCCGCTTTTAAGAGGTATGCATTAATAAAGAAAATGTAATTTAGGCTTGTCAGTCTTTCTCCACAATAGTAGTTTGCATGTGAATATGAGTCATTGTTAGTTTTGCACTGATGTAAATGTCAAACAAAATAGTGTGGACATTGCAAAGCTTCCTTATAACTGCAGACGTGGACAAACCTGCTGCACCCAGACACAATAACATCTCTGAGACACAGAGGGCTAGCTACAGGGGAATAATCAATAGGTACAGGCTGAAACGGCAAATGCCTAAATGGATGTAGGACATTCATATTGGTGCATTTGGAAAAACCAACAGTTAGGCCAAAATGCTAGCTACGACGGCTAGCTCCATTTAGATTAGCCAGGATTAAAGGAATGTCCTTTTCCACTCATTTGCTGTCTGCTAACCTGGTTTTATTCCATTGTATAGGATTGTAAATTAGGTTTTGCATTACAATTAGCCTCATGTTAGCCGCCCGTTAGCTAAACAAGACAAGGAGGAGCCGTTGGAGGCTAACTTTTCTGTGACGTGGCTTAACAGAATGCAGCTAGCTGTTAGCATGAAATGGTTACCAATGAGGAACAGCTTTGATTTCTCTACATTATCGGGCTAGCAGTCGAGCTAGCAGGCTAACATGCTAACACCTACCTTCGCTGTTACTTTGGGGCCTTTCTTCTTCTCGTCCGCAGATGAGCCATTAGGGAAAGCGAGGAAAATCAGGGATCCCACAATGATCGTAATGGCCACAAGGAACTTCATCCTTCTCTCGCAGAGTCTAACCATCAACGAGAAAAAAAGCAGCCCGAGGACAGACCTGTAAGTCTTGCTACCTTTATATGAGTTGTGGTAAGTAGAGCGGTATCCGGGGTGGAGACTCTGCCAGGCGGCCGCTGCTGCTCCGGCTGCGCTTCCTCCACGACCGCAGCGGGGGCGGGACTTCAGACACAGCGAGCCGACGCACAGGCCTCTGATTGGTCTATGTATCTGGCGTTTGAGCCAATCAGATGCATACGCGTTACAGCGCTCTGAGATAGTTCCCAGCATTCCTCAGCATTGAATTCAAATATAAAACTTTGTAAAGTACACACTTTATTTTTCTTTCAATCTATCTAAAATCTGTAATTATTAAAGGCTACTTCTATATTTGTACATGGTCACTTAAAACAAATATATACTGCTACTTAGTTTTTTGTTATCATGGTGTACTTATCTGTTATTTGTTTTGACCTATTGTGTTTTTTATTATTAATAATATGTGCCTACTTTTTAATTTAATATGTAAGTCTATTCTTTTTACTTTATCTGTACTATTTGTATGCTGAAATAATAATAATACCTTCGGGACAAATAAAGGAATCCTGATTCTAATAACTGAATTGTAATAATATGTAAAGCTAAAAAGTGATTAACTACAATAATATCAAATAAAACAAGATCAATTGTATTCTTCTGTAATCATACAAATTGTTTATCACTTTTTTTGTATTGAAAGGTTTAAGAATTTGACTATGTTCTTTAATATACTCATATAAACTCAATCAAATCGGGTTAACTTTTGTTGTTTAACATTGATTTATACACTTTTTTATAGAGAGGCGAAGTCCCGCCTATCTACTACTTCCGACCCATGGGACCTTATTTCTGAAAAAGTATGTATTGAAGTCAATGGCGAGAGAAAGATTATCTTTCGATCCCGTTTGAATTGTGCCACGAATTACACATATGATGTTTGTCGATCTTAAAAATGAATTTCCATGTCAAAAAAGTCACAGTTTGTCGTAAAACTGTTTAAATATAACACTATGAAAAATACGCAACTAGAAAGACTACAAATCCCAGTCCCACATGCTGGCTCTTACGGAACCGACTAACTCCCCTTGTGTGTATGCACAGCTCTCAACGTGCCCAGACTTGTAGTGATTTTCACCTCTTTTAATACTTTTCACTTCATTCTGAAAGAAAGAAGTGAAATGTGCCAACGTGACGGCCGTCTTGGTGTGTGGTGCGTCTCGCACACCACACACCAAGCGGTTTCACACAAAAAAGTGTTACTTGACATTTTTACGACACATTTTAGTTTTTTTTATTTGCAAAATGATCTTTTAAATTGACAAACATCATATGTGTAATTTATGGCACAATTCAAACGGGATCGAAAGATAATCTTTCTCTCGCCATTGACTTCAATGCATACTTTTTCCGAAATAAGGTCCCATGGAGCTCCACCGGAAGGGGAGGGACTTCGCCTCTCTATAATGCAGTGTATGCATTATGCTTTTTATATGCATTTATTTTGCATTGGTGAGTACATGACATTTGTACATTTAAATGATTTTTCGGTCAAACAGAAATTATGAAACATTTCTTAGCGATGAACATTTTAAAGAAGTTTAATTAAAACGAGACCGTAATGGGGTTAGGTGGTAATCTCAGGGACATGATAACCCTAGTTGAGCCCCTGGTGGAAAAACAAGAAGCAGCTGGCCCAACAGAACAATATTACTTTCATTGTATATGTATCCTGTTATTAAACAATATGCACAATAAAACCCTCTAGTGTCTAGACAGAATCCAGTCTCACCACATTTCCAGATAAGCACATTTTAATCTTTTTTGTATATGTTTTTTTTTATTTACAAAACTATTGAACTTGCATGACATCCATGTAAGACTTTAATCAATAATAAGCATTATGTTAAGTTCATCTTGGCATTGACTTGCACAGAAACCTACAACACCACAAAGAGGCCATTCATCTCCATATATATTTTAATGACAAACTACATGAAAATGAAACATGATGACAGTTACAATTGTTAAAACATGAGACACAAATTATGAAATGAGTTAAGATGAAAAGATTGTACTTGCTAAAAATAAAGGGGGTGGGGTTCAGAGTACAGGTTACATTCACCTCTGCAGGCACTCCTGCCCCTTCGTACTAGTGCAAATAATCAACTCTGTTCAACAAAAAGACATCCTTCTTCTTGGTGCGGTACGTTTGCATTAAGACTCCATTATTGCATGCCTTCAGCGGCCATGTGAGGTATACAAATACATTGTTCTTACGGCTATGCAATGTATACTAACATGAAGCAGGCGTTCCCAAGTAAGCTAAAAAAAACAACCAAACAACCCATGAAACAGCATAATGTACCGATAGGCCAGAAGCTCTTCTTGCTGTATGTAACAGTAAGATTTTCCAGCCAATCGTGTTACATAGTCACATTTTACAAGTGAGAGAAGGTAACAACTGACAGAATGACCATGTACAAAAAAAACAGTAAACAAATATACAAAGAAGTACAGTAACCAGGATAACATAATGGTGCAGCTCATTTTGGAATTTCACCATTATCTGTGTTTTATCGCCATCAGAACCTTTTCAATGAATCATCCGGTGCATCTCATTGTAAACTGAGCTTTACTGCATAAAGAAGGATCCCCTTCAAAACCACACTTGCATTTTATAGTGTAGAATCTCATTATTTGATCATATATGGACAATGCATCAGAAGTGTGAAAGCACCAGATTATAATAACTGTTACTATGCAGAGTTGAGAAACTTTAACATCTTAAACAACTGAGAAGACTAGTATTTATCTTTTAGTGACAAATAACAAAAAGGTCAAGTATGTCTTAACAGTCTAAACATTAATTACACGTAAGTAAGTCACCCATTGAGTTGAAGAAACACAGAACATCAAGATTTCCACCTAGATTCTACGATATAGTAAGACGCTCATCAGTTTCCAGTCAAACAGAATTATTTATATATGTGTGTGTTATAATATGTCAGAAGGGCAGCTGATGTGATGCTAAGTTTGAAGTGGCTCTGAAATATGAATACGGTATTATTATAACTTCTTAAACTCATATTTTTCTAAAGGCACAGCATACCTAAGATATGCAGGTCAGAGTAAATTAGGTGAGCCAACAGAACTCTTTGGAGTTTGTGAACATGGCTTTGAGTCGCGGCCGATGCATAGAGTCAGGTCGCCTCGCAGCCCAGACACTTCTGTGAAGCGCCGCCTCACTTTCTGTGTCTGCAGGAGGATTGGAGGAGGAGGAACAGAGGAGAGCTGGCTGTGGGAGTCATCAGGCAGGATTTAAATCTATCACCATCGACCACATCCTTAAACTCAGTGGAGCTCCAGAGAGGAAGACACTGGTTCAGGAAACAGAAGCCTGAACAACCTTAGAAACTCCGACCCAACAATCTCAGACTTCAAGGAGTGTCAGATTGAAGCAAACCTCAGAAGGGCTGCTGGGTCTCGAACTCGGAGTAAACGAGTCCCTCTGCTGAGATGGCGTCCCCGAGCCCGACTGTCCTCAGAGGCTGTCGGCACACCAGCACGGCCGTCAGGTGGAAGGTGACGTTTCCTCTCCGCCACACGGTGACCGGCTGCTCTGGGATCAGGGACAGCTGCTCTCGGGGCTCAGCGTGTGAGCTGTAAAACTCCAGCGGGGCTTTCAGCTCCACCTTGCTGGGGTCCACAGCCTGGAGGCCACACGCCTGACTGCTGGCGACCCGCGCTCCGGCCATCACCGCGGACGCCTGGTTCCCCCAGTACCCGTCCACCGTGGCCAGGATGTGGTAGGCCAGCGTGTGGAAGTGAATGCGAGTCAGGTCCGCCTCGGAGGATGGCTCGATGCGGCCGTGCTGCTCCAGGATCCACAGCAGGATGTCGCTGACCCGCCCCACGTCTGGGATCCCTTGCCAGGCTACCATCTCAGCATGAGGCCCCTCTCCAGCCTGAGAGAGGAAGAGCAGCTCCTGCTCGTTCAGCCCGATGGAGCTGACAATGGGCATAACCTGCTAACGGGAAACACAGAAAAACATGAATTCAAAATACAGAACTTTTTTCTTACTATCATAATGGTTCAGGTATTGTGCGATCATTTTGTTGATGAGGGGGAGTGATAATGTAATATGTTGATAATGGTTGCACAATATGAACATCGATAGCATCAAGAAATGGCATGTCCTTTTGGTGTCCAGGGACGGCATGAATGATTAACCCTGATGTACAACAGGTGCAGTTATGTAAGCATCTCCATGTATGTCCTATTTATGCTAGGTCTGTGAACAAAATACAGAACTTGGATTATGAACCCACTTATCCTCTCGGGGAAGTTCACTACATGCAACATGACAGTTTCCGGACATGTACCTCCTGCATGATGCTGTTCATGTAGTCTTTGTCCGTCATGCTGGCCAGCTCCAGGTGGATGGGAATATCTCTGGGGATCTCAGATATGGCTGACACAGCCTGTGAAGAGAAAACAAGTAGAAGATCAGAAGAAGAAGAACTAAAACCAAAGCGGGAACATTTAAAAAAGGCATGTTTCTGTATGATGCATGTTTACTTTGAGCACATTACAGCAAATCATAGCTTTTCAGTTAATTCATGTTTTATTTGTCATTTATTTTTCACTTGTATAAGCTAAGAGTAAAATATGGGTAATCCTTAACCTCTATGTAATAACCAGACATCAACAGAAAGAGACAATGACAAAGGATGAAAGCTTTACACAATACATTGTGACTGGAAAGCATAAAAACTAAGAATTTGGTGAATAGGATTTGCAGGAAAATGGGAGAAACCTGCAGAAAAACACCAGCTCTGTTGATTGATAACAGTTAAGGACAGTTTTCGGCCACTGACCTCCTTCAGTCTCTCCTCCCACAGCTCCCGGCCCTGCCCCTCCATCATGTGCAGCCCCGACAGCACCACCAGCTCCGGATCAAACTCCTCCAGACTCTCCACGAAGGTCTCCAGGGAGCTCATCTCCCCGTTGGACACATCGTGAGAGAAGATGAAGCGGTTGGCTTGAGGTGCCTGCGTTGAACCCCACTGTTCACCTTGAGACAGAAAAGTACTTTTATTTTAACACATCTTAACAGACTAAAGGAATCCTGAAGCGGCAGCTTG